CGGGCCGCAACAGAACTTGCATCTCAAGTGGATTCTCTGGCTGCTCTCTGCTCTGACTCCAGGGTTGGGAGCCCCTTTGCAGAATTGAGATGTCTGTGTTTATGGCTAAGCAAGGGGGATGTGTCGCAGGAATGCGGGGAAGTTTCAGGCCCCACAGGGTCAGGAACGCAGCTGACTATAGGGAGGGTGTATGTGTGTGTCTGTGTGTGGTATGTCTCCGAGGACCTGCAAGTCCATCAAGAAGTCAGGACATGGCTCTGGCTGCTTCTCTCTGACCGGCGAATCCACTCTCTTTCCCCTCTGCAGATCAGCTTTCTCCATTTCTTCACCAGCATGAAAAAAATTGCTTTGCGGGGCTTCCTTAGTTCCATGTTTCAGACCAGCTTGAAGGCAGGCTGTTGGGTACAGGTCTACCTCCCAGGAGAGGGGCTTGGGGCAGATGTCCATCCCTTGCTCAGTCCACTGCAGTGGGCAGCGAAGACAGCTCATTTGCTAGTACGGCTGCAAGGCTACCAGCGGCTCGTCCTCTGCGTCTGGGGCGAATCTTGGAGAAGGGAGACAGGGAGCCACAGGAGAGGAGTTCTGCAGCAGCTGTGCCTCAGCCCCACTCAGCGGGAGGCATGACGCCACCCCAACCCCCATCCCAGGTGGTAGGACTTGACTAGGGAGAATTTTGTCTTTTTCTTAGGTGGTACAGTAGCTACAATACATACAGTAAAGTATTCAAATCTTAAGTGCACAGCTGGATGGATTTTTACATGTTATCAATACACCAGATCAAGATTTAGAACAATTCCAACAATTCCAACTCTAGAAGGCTCTCTCGTGACCCCTCCTACTCAATATCCCTCCTGGAGTGATCACTCTCCAGACTTTTATCACCATAGGTTAATTTTGCCTCTTCTTGAACCTCATGTAAATGGAATCGCACAGCGTGTGTTCTTTTGTCTATGGCTCAGTTTTATGCCTGTGAGATTTACCTGTATGATTGCATGTAGGAACCACAACTCGGTTCTTCTTTGAGGGGAAAAATCCAAAGCATGGGAGTGGAAACGAGTTCAACCTCTGTGGAAAGCAATATGGAGATACTGCAAAGATACAAGTAGAACTACCATTTGATCCAGCAGTCCCATTACTGGGCATCCACCCACAGGAACAAAAGATATTTTTTAAAAAAGACACCTGCACTAGAATGTTTATAGCAGCACAATTCACAACTGCAAAGATGTGGAAACAACCCAAGTGCCCATCAATACATGAGTGGATTAATAAACTGTAGTATATGTATACCATGGAGTTCTACTCAGCCACAAAAAACAATGGTGAACTAGCACCTCTTCTATATCCTGGATAGAGCTGGAGCCCATCCTACTAAGTGAAGTATCACGAGAATGGAAAAATGAGCACCACATGTGTTCACCACGAAATTGGTATTAACCGATCAACACTTATGTGCACATATAGTAGTAACTGTCATCGGGGGTGGTCTGGGTGGGAGCGGGGAGAAGGGGACGGGTATATACACACCTAACGGGTGTAGTGCGCACCGTCTGGGGGATGGACACGCTTGAAGGTCTGACTCGGGTGGGGCAAAGGCAATATAGGTAACCTAAACATTTGTACCCCCGGAATATGCTGAAATAAAACATTAAAAAAGAAAGAAAAACCCAAAGCACAACTCTTTAAATTCATTCCGCCCCCAGCCTCCTTCTTGACCTGGGAGAAGGGGAAGTGCTGTGTGGCTCGCCTCGCAGAGGTCCTAGGTGTTAGGGTGGAAAGCCTAGTAGGTGCCCACAGCGCGGGTGGAGAATGATTTCTCATGCAGAAATTAAGGTATAAAAGTAAAAAAGTTTACTTTATCTTCTTAGGGGAGAGAGAGAGAGTGAGAGAGAGAGAGAGAGAGAGTGAGAGAGAGAGAGAGAAGGGAAGTGGGGGAAGAGAGCATGGAGACAGGGTGGCATCTCAAAGAAAGAAAAGGGAGATGCCAGCAGTGAGGCTGAATGGCTTGCTGCTTTTATGGGGACAAAGGGAAAGAGAAAAAAGTAGTAATTGTTGTGGAGTAATTAGCAGGCAGTCTCGAGATGTCAGTTGTCATCTTTCTTGCCTTCTCTGCTCCTGGAGACTTGGTTATCTCTGAGATGCAGTCAGGCCTATCACAGGGGATGTGATTTTGCCCCTGAGCTATGGTTTGGGCAGGAGACTAAGGCCTGGAGTTTGCCTCCCTGCTGTCTGTCCGGGAGCTTCTCAGGAAGACCTTGAGGCTGTAAAACAGATTCTAAAAGCAGTTTCTGGTGGATGTAAAGAGAAAGATTTACTTTTCCTTCTGTCTTTGGGCTCTTTCCAGATGTGTGTGAAAACAGAGGCCCTGCAGGGTGCTGCCGGCGTGGGAGAGAAACAGCAGAGTAGGGGAGCTCGTGATTGGTTCTTGGAAGTTGCTAGGAAATTGCCGGATCAGATATTTGCCAGTTATTTCTGCAAGGCTGTCCTTTCACTGGGGTGGAGGAAGGAGGAGAGATCAGAGTGAGCTCATGGGGAAAAGTGGTTTCAAACGCTGACTTCCATAAAAGTTAGAGAGGAAAGTGTTCTTTCATTAATGGTATTTCTGCATCTCTGGAGCCGGATGGGTTTCTCTCATTTTCTCTTGGCCGGATCCTCCAGCTGTTCCCCTATATGCCACGGCCAGGGATGTGAGAGTGAGGGGAAGGGACTGGCATTATGTGGGCTGAGCACCTGCTATGTGCAGAGATCGTCTCTAGCAGTGTCACAGCACAACGAAGAATGCTCCAGACCCCAATCTCAGGCTGAAGGAGAAGAAGAGACTCTTTGTTTCAAAGAGCTCCAGAACCTCTCCAAATCTCCGTATTTATTGTAGGGAAAGGTATATGTGTTTACAGTAAAGAACATAGAGATAAAATCTTGGGTGTCATATAGTAAGCATATTGATCCAGACAAGTCTATTAGTGTTATACATTAAACTTATAATTATCTTGTTGTTCCTTAAGTCCATAAAGAAAAGGGCGGGACCCAACAGCAACTGTTACGGCGGAGATGACTAGGAATAGACCGACACGCACACAGAAATATTGGCAAAAACAGGTTTATATGCCAGCGGGCTCAGATGGGGATTTTTCCCTCCAAATTCTGAGCACCAGACAAAGAGCATTGCAGTCCTTTATACATTCTGCTTAAGGGGGAGGGGCACGGTTGCAACAGGGTTAACTTTAGTGAGGCAGGGTCCTAGGCTACTTTACAGCCTGGTGCACTAATTGCTACAGGTGATTTATGAGGGGAAAGGTCGCAGGGGAGGAGGGGCCCCAGGTAAGGAATGCAAAGGACAAAGTCTGGTAGTGGAATTTTCCACTTCAGTGGAACTTTCCAATTTTCCACTTCACAACCACGCTTCCATACATTCCAAAGCCTGCTGTGTGCAGCCGGCTGATAAACGATCACATCCCAAGTCTTTGGGATGGCAGGACCGTCAGATGTCCGCCTTTCTCACAGTCCCTTCGCCAGGCCTTTATGCCTTTCCTGACATCCTCTACACTACGTGCCAGGCACTTCCACACGGGTTCCACATGCATTGTCCTATTCAGTCCTGACCTTATGACATAGGAGCCATCATCTCCTTAAGTAAATAAGGAAACTGAGGCTCAGGGAGCTTAAGAAGTTTAAATTCCTTGTCCGAGGTCATGTAGCTAGTGCTGACTTTTGAAGCCAGGCTGGTCTGATCAGAGCTGTGCTTAGGGCACCCCAATCTGGGGCCTCACAGGGGGGCTGTCTTCCACCTTCTGGGATGGGGGGGAGGGAGGGCTCTGGCTGCAGGGACCAGACCTTCAGGGCAAGCTGCTCTGTTCCCACGCCTGAGCACACTCGGGCAGCTGTGCTCTTCCCAGCCTCCAGCCCCTGGGCCCTCTGAGGCTCACGAGCCCTCCTCATTCTCAGCCAGGACTAGCAACTGCTCACGCTCACACGTGGCCTTGGGTAGGCGGCAGGGCGAGTGGAAGCCTTAACTGAAGGCTGGGTCTTTGATGCTGGAATTGCAGGTACCGAGTGAGGTGGAAAGGAGCGGCGAGAGAATCACTCGAGAAGGGCCCCCTAAGAGTCCCCGAATCACTCCTGCGGCCAGCGCCCTCTGCGAGGGAGAGGGAGAGGCACCAGAGCGAGGACACACCCCCCCCTGCCAGGGGCCACACGGCTGCTCACCCCCAGGGACCTGGGCCTGCTCTAGAATCCCCCAAGGGGCCTGGAAGGAAGGTTGAGGGGTGGGAGGCTGAGACCCCACCTCACCTGAGCCTGACACTGCTACACACCCGGGTTTGGCTGGGGCCAGAGGCAGGGCCTGAACTGTGGTGACGCAGAGAGGTGCCCGGTACACAGAGCGCGAGGGGGCAGCAGCTCCACTCAGCTGCCGGGGGCCAGGCCCCCGCTCCAGGCCGTGTACACCTGGGGACACCTGATATAACTGTACTCTTATAACTGTCCATCATTATGTTAATAGACATGTAACACGCATATATGTGTGTTAACTCAACTCCTGAAATTGTCCTCAGCTGACAGATGAGACTGAGAGAACAATGAGGACAGTCGGAGAGTCTGCCCGGCTGGTGACTTGCAAGCTACCAGTGCTCCAGGGCCCACACTCTTTCTTTTGTTTGTTTGTATTACCAGAGCGTCCACACTCTTAATCATGATACAACACATGGTTATCGTATACACACACACACACACACACACACACATGCACACACACACACACACACACACGCACACACACGCACGCGCGCGCCAAAGGCCACCAGGTGCCTGCCCAGCTACCTTATCAGGACCCCACACAGATTGGCCACAGCTGTGCCCCTGCTCACGGCCGGCCCTGTGGAATGCAGAAGGTGGGTCACATGTGGACAGGAGCCTTTTTATAACCCCACCACCCCAGCTGGCATGGTTTTCTGCCATCTGACCTGCCACTGCCACTGCCACCCACAGCGGCCGTCCCACTCGCCATGGAGAAGGTCGTGGTCCTGCTGCTCATCGCCCTGTCAGTGGTCTATGCAGCTCCCGACCCTCGGGGGCTCCTCATCAACCTGGTAAGAGGGTCTTCGCGGGGCGGGGGGCCGTCTGAGTCCCCAGGTGGGGATGTTGTAAGGGTGGCCCCCGACCTCCCACGTCCCCACCTGGGCTGCCTGGGGCCGGGAGGAGCAGCACCAGCCTCTCCGCCTTCTGGCTGGCCCTGGAACAGGCTGGTGGGCGCCGAGCAGTGGTCCCGCCTGGCCCCGGGAGCTTTACAAAAATCCAGAGGCCTGGGCTCCGCCGAGAATTCCAGTCTCTGGCCTGCAGCGGCACCTTCCTCACTGTGTGCCAGACACGGTTCTGAACGCCTCGGGAATGCTCGCCGCTCAGTGCTCACAACCGCCGCGGAGGTTCGGACGGAGGCTGGCTGAGGCTCCGGGCTGCGGGTGGAGCCGGGCAGGCTCCGGTCGCGCTCCCGCCGCTGCCTCTCCGCCAGGGCACGGCCGGGAAAGCCTCTCCGGGCCACCCGCGCAATTCGAAGGTCCTTAACTCTCTTAACTCAGGGCCATGGTGGGTTTGGAGGGTCCAGGACCCCCTTGAGATTCCGTGGCCAAGTCTGTGGTGGAGGACGGGGTCTTGCAGGAAGGTCAGGCTCCTCAAAGGAGTAGGGGACCCGGAGAGGGTTGGAAGCCTATTTGGGGGCCACATGTGCATGTTCCAGATGGGAACACTGAGGCCTGGGGGCAGCGGCTTGCCCAGGGTCACCAGGGAGTTGGGAGCACAGCCGATACTAGAACCTGGGGGTCCTGACCCCCTCCCAGCCCAGGGCTGCTTCTCTGTCACCACACGCCCACTTCTCACACCGGGGCAGGGCAGAGAGGCCGCCAGACCCAGGGGCTGGACTCCTTCGCACACACCCCCAGCAGGGAAGGCACTGTCAGCGGTCGTGGGTGCTGGGGCGGAGGTCTGGGTGGAGAAGGGGCCTAGAGGAGGGGGTCCTGGGCTGATGGGCTGCCCCTTCCCCTGGCAGGATCAGGGTGAGCTCTGCCTAAACAGTATCCAGTGCAAGAGCAATTGTTGTCACCGGACGAGCGGGCTGAGCCTGGCCCGCTGCGCATACAAGGCCAGCGAGAACAGCGAGTGCTCTCCCAAGGTGGGTGCTGGAGCAGTTGGCGTGGGTGGGGGAGAATGGGGAGGGGTAGCTCAGAGGAGGAGGGCCCTTGGGGCTGGGGGGTGGGATCAGGGAGGAGGGGCAGCCTGGAGGCTGAATGTGGAGGCGAGAGGGCGACAGAGTACTTTCCCATCCACCCCATCATCTCTCTGGCCCCTCACAGCTGAGCAGTGAGATGGGTGGGGCAGGGGTTGTTATCCCCATTTCATGGATGGGCAAATAGAGGCTCCCCAAAGAGATCAAGTTAGTGAGAGCAATGAGCCCGAGTGGAGACCAGAACCCAGGTCTCCCAGGCGCACAGTGTCCCCCCGCCCCGGAAGCCGTCGGGAGAGATGCTATCTGATGAGACGCAGGGGCCTGCTGGTTCTCTGGGTCAGGCGTGGGCAAGTGTTGCCCAAACTGGACCCCCATAGCCTGTAACTCTACTGCCTCTGTGTGTCTCCAGTCACTCTATGGGGTTTACTACAAGTGTCCCTGTGAACGGGGCCTGACCTGTGAGGCGGACAAGAGCATCCTGGGCGCCATCACCAACACCAACTTCGGCGTCTGCCTTGATGTTCAGCGCTCCAAGCAGTGAGACCACCCATCCACTCCTGCACCCAGCCCGCACACTGCGGGACGCTAGGTCCAGGGCCACCTCTCTCCTCCCCTGCCACCTCTCCCTGGCTGGCCACCTCCCTGACCAGCGTCTCTGTTTTCTGACTAGGCTCTTGGCAATTAAAGCCCGCCTGCAAACCTTGCCCGGCCTCCTGCAAGTCCTTGCTGCGTCGGCGCCCTCCTTGAAGTTACATCAAGCCTTTGCCACCAGGGCAGGCTTCAAACGGGCCAGAAAAACAGGGATGGGTCTGGGGCCGGGGACGCTGTGGCCGAACAGATTGGAGAGTAGAGACAAGGTTGTGAAGGAGGCCCGGCCAGTCTGGAACCTCTCCATTTCTGAGGAGCAGTCACACCTCCTGGGATGCCTTTCCTTGTCCCTCACGTTCGAGAGGGACAGGCAGGTGTGTGCAAGCTCACACTCATACTCACACACACACACACACACACACACACACCCTCTGGTAGGGAATTACAATGGCTCATCTTCATTGCCCTGCGTCAGAATTTACCAGCCCCGGTCTTGGGCTCTCGCCTCTTTCCTGGGCCCAACCCTCAGACGTAACAGCCGGCTGACACACCCAGGCCTTACAGGTCAGACCGTAACAATTGCTGTGGGCTCACTCTGTGCCACCCAATCCTCACAGTGATCCCAGGAGGGAGAATTCATCGTCTCCACTTCACAGATAAACTAAGTTTCAGAGAGCGTAAGGAACTTGCCCGGTATCACACGATCAGAAAAAGCTGCCACACTACCCATCTAACTCCACCCCCTACCCTTTCTATGAGTCCCTGTTCTCTGCCCAATTATTCACACTAAGAAAAGTGGGAGGAAATTGTAAGCAATTTAATTTTGGCTTAATATAAAAATGTTACATCCCCTGGAGCTGTCAAACATGAGTTACTTTAGGCAGTCGTGCGGTCCGTCATCAAGATGTGCAGGTGGAGGCTCGCCTAGCCCCTGGCTGGACTGGAGATTCACACAAAGGGGCGGGTAGTGAACTGAATGAAATCTGGTGTCCTCTCCGCCCCGGGGCTCTGCAGGCCTACGATGGATGAACCCCTAGTAACCACAGGCTTGTGCGTTAGGACTGCATTTAGTTACGAGCTGCAGAAAACCCAAGTGATTACGGCTGAAACAAATAGGACTGTGGATTTCTCACAAATCAAGAAGTCCAGAGATGGGAAGTGCTGGTATTTGTTTGGTGGCTTGGTGGCTGGGGGCTCTGCAGTTCTCCTGACCTCTTCACGATTGCCAGATGCCGTAGCGGCAGCTCCTAGCGTCGTATCCTCTCGCCGTATTCTAAGGCAGGGAGCGGGTAGGATGGGGGGAATGAGGGGCAGAGCATTTTGCCAATACTTCTGTGTGTCTCTCGGTCTGTACCCGGTCAATTCTGCTGTAACAATTTTAAATTTTCTAATAGCCATATTAAAAAAGTAAAACTAAAAAGAAGCAGGTGGAATCAAATGCAACCCCTCTTAGATTTCGGCACGTCCTCCAGATGGACTTCTGTTCGTATTTCAATGGCTAGAACTGGGTCGTCTGACCGCTCGGCCTGCAGGGGAGGCTGGGAAAGCACCCGGCAGGGGCGGGGAACCTGTGGCGCTAAGGCCACGTGTGGCCTTTTACGTCCTTAAGTGAGGCCTTTTGACTGAATCCAAATTTTACAGAACAAATCCTTTTATTAAAAGGGGTGAAGCTGAGAAAGATGAAGCTTTTCTGCTTCCTTTGGTGCTTAAAAAAGAGCAATGTTGAAGTCAGAAGGCCGCAGGTTCCCCAGCCCTGTGTGGCTGTTGGGAAAGCAGGTAACAGCGTCCGCCGCAGGTGAGTTAGTGCTCAACAAGAGCGGCTCTCAGTACCTTGACCCGGAGCGGGGTTCAGGCCCCGAGGCAGGGCGGGGTCATATTTCTTGGTTCCCAGATTCAGGCCTGGGGGAAATCTGCATTTATGTCTTGGTTTATCTCCTGAGTGACCATACTGTGCCCAGCACTGTGTTTTGGACTATTGGGGACACAAGGAAGATGTCCCTGGTTTCCAGAAGTGAGTACTGAGTTGGGCTCTGCAGAAGCAAGTGGCCAAGACCCCAATCATCTGTTCCCTCGTATTAAATCCTTTCTACTTGAAATACCTGGAGTGAGTGTTTTTCTACGCTGAAGCTCATGCGAGTCTGCCTGAAAAGGGGAGCATTTTGTCACGTTGTGGCTGTTGGTCAAAAGCACCTTCCTCGCTAAGCCTTGAGCCCAGGGGAGTCACCTTTTCCTAATGCACAGAAGGATGTCCTATGGGCTGCAGCCTCGCCACTGACACTTTCCACCTTAACATCCTAATCCCAGGAGTTCCCTGTCTTCTTGTGACTTCCTTCTAGATCTGCTAGCTATCCAGCTGTAGAAGCAGGGGCGTTTGCAGCCTTGCGTCCATAAAAAATTCCTGATGCTGGGCCCGCAGACCCACGCTGTCTGATACGCTGGTGTGGTAGCTCTTAGCCAGCCACAGGTGGCTGTTGAGCACTTGAAATGTGGCTCATCTGAATCAAGATAAATGTAAAATACAAACTGGGTTTTGAAAACTTATTACCAAAAAAAAAAAAGTAAAATATTTCAAATATTTTCACATGTTGAAATGATATTTTTATTGGGTCATAAACAAAATAGATTATCAAAATTGATTCCACCTGCTTCTTTTTAGTTTTACTTGTTTAATATGGCTATTAGAAAATTTAAAATAACATACATAGCTCGCGTTTGTTTTCCACCAGACAGCGCGGCCGTAGACTCCGGGTTTCTGCTGCTTTTCGGCATTGGGGACCTGCCTCCTTTCAGCGTGGCAGGGAGACAATCTTCCCACAAGTGCCCCCTGACTCACAATGGTTTGACTTACAATTTTTTGACTTTACCGTGGTGCAAAATCAATATGCATTCAGTAGAACGATAAATCACAGGAGATATTCAACACTTTATTATAAAATAGGCTAGCAGCAGTGCCCTCTATCAATGGCCACTTGTCCCAGAACGGCAGCTGAATTTCCATGGCTGGTGAAGGGGTCCAAAATATGCCACCGTGGCATACAAATTATTTTGAGCTGAAGGTATTTGAGAATAGGCTTTTTTCTGAACTCCTGTATCTGCCTAAAAGCAGAGCCCCGCAGAAGAGCTCAATTGTTTCTCAAAACCAGGGAGGAAAAAAAAAAAAAAAACAAAACCAGGGAGGAGTGACTCGCTGGAGAGGAGAGAGGTTGGCACCACACTGAACAGTCACAGTCATGAAACTGTCGCATCTCCCATCTCTTCTCCTAAGGGCCCAGGTATCTCCTCAAAAATGTGTTCCTGTAAGTGTCCTTCCTCCTCCCCTTCCTCTGTGACGATGGTATATAAGCCCCAAATTCTAACTTCCTCCTAGAGTCACAGTTTTCTGTGAACTCCCCTACATTCTCCATAAAAATCTCTCATTTCTCTTTCTACTAGGTCTTTCATCAGTTTAATTCTCAGGCCTGTGACGACCGAACCTAAGAGGGCAGAGGAAAAGCTTTTCCTCCCTGGCGCTTGGAACTGGTTGCACCATGTCAGCAACGTGTATCTTTGCCCCCCTCCTCTTTGGTTTTTTTCATGAAAGGACATTAACGACAACTTGAGTCTTTTTTTTAAAGAAGGCATATTATTTTCCCAGATGAAAGCATTCAATGTTGCAAAGAACTAAAATTTCCCCAAGTTAATCTTTTTTTTATTGTTTATAATTAAGGTGTACCACATGACGTTTTGATATCTTTGTCTTGCCATATATAGAGTGAATATTACAGTGAAGCAAATTAATATACCCATCATCCCATGTGGTTATCTACCTTTCTGTGTGTGTGAGTGGTTAAGAGTACCTAAAATCTACTCTCTTGGCAAATTACCAGTGTACAATACTGAATAATAGGCTGTCCTCATGTTGTATATTAGGTTCCTTAGACTTCTCCCTTCTACGTAACTGCAACTTTGTACCCTCTGA